TATCAACAAATATAGTTGTAAAAAATCATAGCAATCAATGAAGACGTTTCGTCATGCATTAGAAGTAAATTATAATGAAAAAAAGTCAACACTTTTTAACTTACACAAATGTGGGCATGTAACAGCTTAAATTATCAAAAACGTTTTTCTGAACTCACAAATTTTCCTTAGTACATTTAAGAAAATAATGATATTCATCACCAACATCAGATGGATCACATAGATTACATGTCCGATCACAATAGGCTATGTTTGAGTGTATGATGACCTTGGCTTGGATTTCCCCAGTAGATGATCCGAATTTTGCTTGTTCTTTCGGATGTTGTTGTTCCGTTGCAGATACGCTCCGCTCCAGCCAGGACATTGAGAAATCTCGGAGATTACTTCAGTACCTTCAGACGACTGATACAAACTACGTTCATTTTGGGTTGGTGCTCCATCGCCATGATTCAGTGAACGCCGACCAAAGCATTTAGTGACAATCAATGAAAAAGCTTTCCTCAAACGATCCATCACGCTCGATGGGATTGATGAACTGTGCAGTCTGTCAGAGTTTCTGCTTTATTTATACCTGTGAGATGTTTGTTGTCATTTCGAATTAGTCTCGTTGTTTGTTTCGTTATTAAATGATTTTGTTTTTGATAATTAGAAAGTTAACAAACAGGCACGCCCATTCCAGAAATAAAATGATTTGCACAATGCGCATGTCATTCACTGAGTGCATGCTGGTCACAAATATACCGTAATGGTCGCATTTGCTATATTATTATTATCATACCGTAAAGATTTCGATCAGAAAATACACCTATTGTTCCGTTTGTCAGTTGATCGATCAAGACGACTTGAAGACACTTTAGAAAGGAAAGAGGCTAGAAACAAAAAATGTTTGCAGCTTGTCTTATTTTTAATTCAGACCAGAATTAATGCAATCCTCCATGTTATCGTTTTACTGGATAAAAAGCAAGGCATTATATGCAATCGATCCTTGTTTTTGCTAGGTTTGTTATTTACACAGGACGAAATCAAGAATTTCCGAAATCGGAAATTTCACCGGAAATTCGATGTTGCGAATGGCGACGGAAATTCATTTCACCAATTTCCGTTACACATTTACGTCAAACTATACCGTAAACGTTTTGCCAAAGATTTCCGTCGCGATGTTTACGCTACGTTTTCATGTCGATCATGTATACTGATATGTGTAGGATTTTTCCGTAGTATTTTGTAGGACAGATGTTATATCACCGACGACACAAGAAATTCTTTGAATGAAAGTAAAATATATTTGATTTATGTCAAGAAGCTGAGTCCCGTTCGATGACTTTTAGAAAGTCCCTAAACAGTCTCCTAGAGGGACTAAACGGAGTGATCTGTCATATTGATGATACTTTAATCMATGGGAAGACCCAAGATGAGCATGATGCCAGAGTGAGAATGGTCCTCCAACCTTTACAAGATGCCGGAGTGACCCTCAATRAAAAGTGCGAGTTCTCTAAAAGATCAGTGAAGTTCCTTGGTCATGTCATCGACGAAGASGGGGTACATCCAGACACTGATAAGACGGAAGCCATCAGGAAGTTCCAACAAGCTGCAACGTTTCATGGGCATGGTCAACCAGATGGGGAAGTTTATCCCATAGCTTGCAGACCTCAACGAGGTCTGAAAGAAAATCAATGGCAAGATGCACAAGAAGAATCCTTTAGGAAGATTAAAGAGAAATTGTCATCACCAGAAAGCCTTGCACACTACGATGCAACTCGTACTACAGTCATTTCATCAGACGCTTCAAATGCTGGTCTGGGAGCACTGATTGCCCAACTCCAAGATGGTGGAACATACAATCCTGTAACGAATGCCTCCAGATCTCTTACTGATGCAGAAAAGAGATATGCGGTGATTGAAAAGGAAGCATTGGCCGTGACCTGGGCCTGCGAGAAGTTTACAGACTATGTACTAGGGATGAAGTTTACTGTCCACACAGATCATAAACCGCTCGTACCTCTTCTTACATCGACAGATTTTTCAAAGATGCCACCTCGAATCCTCAGGTTCAGGATGAGATTGATGAAATTCAGCTTGAATGTGCACTACGTTCCAAATAAACAGCAAGTAACAGCAGACGCGCTGTCGCGTGCCCCAGTGGGTGGACCTCAGCAGCAGATAGTACTCTAGTACAGGAAGTAGAGAGCTTCACCAGTCAAATTGTAGCAGGCCTCCCAGCCAATCCTCAGCTACTTCAAGAGATAAAGGAAGCTCAAGACGCAGATGAAGAATGCTCTCTAATTAAGCACTACTGCAATGATGGTTGGCCGCCTTACATGCCACATAAGCAATATGCTCTACGTTCATACTGGGACAATCGAAGTCATTTCTCTTGTGTAGACCAAATTCTACTCTATGATGATCGTATAGTGATTCCAAATCAGATGAGATTTGAAATGCTTGATGTTATACACAAAGGACACTTAGGCATCACTAAATGCCTAGGGAGGGCCAAAATGTCAGTATGGTGTCCAGGAATCACCCAAGCTGTTACTGCTACAGTCACCAATTGTCCAACGTGTGCCAAACTCCGCCCAGAGCATAAAGGGACACTTATGGCCTCCTCGTTCCCCAGCAGACCATGGGAAAGAGTAGCGTCTGACC